GAGCACACTGCTTGCTCATGTTCAGCTCTCTGGCCAGAATGTATCAAACAGAACAGTAAAGATGTTCTGTGCTTGAACATGATCCAAGACCCGTTCATTCCTCCTTCTTTTCTTGTAGGTATTTTCATGTAGAAGCAACATGAACAAACACCTTCTAACGCATGGAGACAAGAAATACACTTGTGAAATCTGTGGACGTAAATTTTTCAGGGTGGATGTGTTGAGAGATCATATTCACGTCCATTTTAAGGTATTGTGTTGATAATTAATTAGCAGAGTGTTTTGGCATAACTAGGTTAGCGCTGAATCGTAAGGAACTGAGTTGAAAGGGAATTGTATCACAGTGATGCTCATGAAGATGCATTTGGGGATGTAATATTGTATCAGTTGAGTCTCTGTTTACACTGGAGTTCCTTTTATGCATTAAAAAAATAGCATTATTTGTTTGAATAAATAGTTATTCCTTGTGTAGGAATTTTTTTGCCTGTATTGAATGAAACAGAAGGAGATGTTAAATAAATACTATTAGAGCAGTTGTTAATTCAAGGCAGTTTGCATGGCAACAAAAGGTGTTACCTTTATTAAAACAGATTATTCTTTCCTACCCTACACAGGACATAGCCCTAATGGATGATCACCAGAGAGAAGAGTTCATTGGTAAAATTGGAATCTCATCAGAGGAAAATGATGACAACTCTGACGAAAGTGCAGATTCTGAGCCTCACAAGTATAGCTGCAAAAGGTGCCAGGTAGCTTTAAATACTTTCCAATTAACTTGTTTTGGGATGGGGGAGGGAGTGGAGATGTCTATAAATCAGAGTTTTAAGTAACATGAAGGGTTCTCAAAGAGAAGGCCAGTCCACAGGTCAGTGCTGGTTACCTCTAATCTGTGAAGTGATGCTATCCCATAAGACTTGAGGTGGTGTTCAGTAAGGTGGATGCTAAACACTTAGAGAAATACAAACACATCTGCTTTCCTGTATGGAAGCAAGCAAGCAAAACTGGAGGAAGAGTCAATAAAGAAACAATCAAATCTTGCACTAACTTTTGATTATGTGCAAATTAAAATTGTTACAGCATTTCTGAACGATACAGTCCAAAAATTGATTGATTTTGCTGAGTTCAGATGGTCCTCTAGTGGATATCTAGTTTGGAGGATTAAGACTGCTCCTTATGTGTGCCTGTTTATTCCTGGCATGCTTTACTACTAACAGGATGGCGTTAGAAATACTGCTGGAACATACTTTACTCAGTTGTCAGCTTAGAGAGGAAGACCTGTAAAAGCCCTTAGTGCATGGCTTTTGCCATTTGGTGAAGAAATAACAGGGTCCTTAAGGCCCATTTGGACTCTGTGCCCTTCCTGGGGGACTGCACTGTGCTGGGGCACGTGAGAGGCAGAAGCAATCAGTGAGAATGGCAAAGGTGGCCAAACTGACATAGGGACAGGAGAATTTTGGTAGTTAAGCCACTGACTTGACCCCTGGAAATCAGAGTTTATTTCACAGTCTACACTTAATGTGGAGAAAGTACTTAGCCTATCTTCATTTTAAAGCCTGCAGATACTTCAGTTTTCTGTTCTTATCTGTGAACAAGATTTAAGTGCAAACTGCTTTTAAGCTTATGTCAGTAAGCATAAGAAGGTGTGGTATCACAGCAGTTAATCCCAGGCTTGCTAATTTTATGTGCTAATTTTACTGCCTGACACTTCATGGGTACATAAACTGTGTAAAATTGTGCTTCCAAGTGAGGGCATCTGTGCCATGCAAATCAGAAAGCTCTTTTTGGAAGCTGTTTTTGTAGCACTTTTGCAGGTGTTTGTGAAGCTAACAGTTGTGGAAGGGAACAGCTGTGGAAAATGAGATTTGCTGTGATGAGATGGGGAGGCTCTTTTGGGGAACTAAACTGCCAAAGGGAGAACAGCATGTGAATGAGTCTTGGTGGAATATCTCTTGTGAGCTCTTCAGAATCTCTCCATGTTTTTTCTCATCCCAAAGTATTCCTTTTCCAAGCTGTGCAGTGCTGTCAGAAATACCCTGGCTAGTTGCAGAATTGGAGCACTAGATCATGTCATTATGGCAGTTTGCCCTGATATGCTGGAGCACAAATGGATATGATGGAGTGTAAGTGGATATTCAGGGTTGTGTAGCCCAAGGAGCTCAGTAGTGGAGCATCTGTCTCATAGCTGTAGCACTTGCAGGAGCTGAGCTAGAGTCACTGCCCTGCAACACCTAGAAATTAGAATCAGAGAATCATCAAGGTTGGAGGAGATCTCTAAGATCATCAAGTCCAGCCATTAACCTGCCACTCTGCTGTAACCCTCAAGCCTTAAACCATATCCTCCAGCACCAGATGCAGATGCCTCTTAAAACACTTCCAGGGATGGTGACTCCACCACCTCCCTGGGCAACCTATTCCAGTGCCTGACATTCCAACTCTTCTGAAGCTAATGCTGAAACTGACTGTGCAGAGTAAAGCTTACCATGCCCCCAGAGCCCAGCAGATATGTTTTCCATCTGTGGTGTCCTCACTTTGACAGCTGGTGGAGGTTAGACATGGCTCTCTTCATTCCTCAGTGCACGAATAATTGGAGTTCCTCTTCTTGTGCAGTGGAGAAGTGGAGGTTTTCCAAATGAACTGACACCCTGTAGTGTGAGCCAAAGAGGCTCAGGCCCAAGTCCACCTTCCACAGATTTTTCATCTGATGATACACAGGGTATTTAGGTCTACTCACACCAACTCAAGGTCCTAGTAATGTATTACCAGTTCATTGCTGTGCCCAAGGACTTTTTCTCCCTTTCATTCACTATTGATTCATTCCCTAGCTGACTTTTGGCAGAGGGAAGGAGTACCTGAAGCACATCATGGATGTCCACAAGGAGAAGGGCTATGGCTGTAGTATCTGCAACAGGCGTTTCGCCTTGAAGGCGACGTACCACGCACACATGGTCATCCATCGGGAGAACCTGCCAGATCCAAACGTGCAGAAGTAAGATGGAATGTTGTGCTCTGCCACCTGATGCTTGTAGAGACTTGGGATGTACTAAAATAACTGAAACTGTGTAACGGGTGTTAAAATCATAGAATGTTAAGGGGTTGGAAAGTACCTTAGAGGTCATCATAGAATCATCATAGAATGACTTGGGTTGGAAGGGATCATCTAGTCCCAACCCCCCCAGCCATGGGCACAGACACCTTCCACTACACCAATTTGCTCAAGGCTTCATTCAACCTGGCTTTGAACACTGCCAAGGCTGGGGCAGCCACAGCCTCCCTGGACAACCTGGGCCAGTGTCTCACCACCCTCACAGTAGAAAGCTTTTTCCTGATACCTGATAATCTAAATTTCCCCTCCTTCAATTTATCCCTATTACTCCTTGTCTGTCACTACAGTTCCTAACAGAGTCCCTCTCCAGTTCCCCTGTAGCCTCTTCAGATCCTGGAAGGTGCACTGAGGTCTCCACACAACCTTCTCTTCGCCAGGCTGCACAGCCCCAACTCCCTCAGCCTGTCCTCACAGGGGAGATGCTCCAGTCCTCTTAGCAATTTTTTGGCCTCCTCTGGACTTGCTCCAGCAGTTCCATGTCCTTGTTACGTTGAGGACACCAGAACTGTGTGCAGTATTCCAGGTGGGGTCTCAGGAGAGCAGAGTAAAGGGGGAGAATCACCTCCTTTGTCCTGCTGCCCACACTCCTTTGGAAGCAGCCCAGGATTCCATTGGCTTTCTGGGCTGTGAGCACACACTGCCAGGTCATGTTTATTAGGAGCTTGAAATACATATCACTAGTGATTGACTTCACACAGATGATTAGTCAGTAGCCTCCCAGTTTGGACTTTGTAAAGTATAAATCTATTACCTGCAGTTTTTTTACAAGCTGTTACTTGAGGATATAGCAATGCCACGCTGCTCCAAGCTTGCTGCCAGCTTAGAGGTTTCTTAAGGCTTGTTTTAAAAATGTATTTTTGCTTCAAGGAACTTTTATAGTAATTAGTATTAGCAGATGAAATAGTTACTGACAGATACCTGAAAACCAACTGTCCCCAAAAAGAATCACAGGTTTTGGTCTCTTTGGTTTCAGATACATCCATCCATGTGAAATCTGTGGAAGGATTTTTAACAGTATAGGAAATCTGGAAAGACATAAGCTTATACATACAGGTAAAAATGTTGTGCTTCTTTATAATTTTCAGTACTAAAAATAAATTTCTGTTGCCAGTGCCTGCCTTATTTTTTTTTTGTTGGAGGAAATCAGTTATGGGTTTTTATTGTAAGTTACTGTATTATCACAAAATACTATATTTATGATTTTAGGGTAGACTAGTTTTCTAAAGCAGGTGATATTAATGAAGAGACTTGATCTAGGCACACAATCCAAATTCCTAGTTAACATGTTGGAGGATTCACCTAATTCTGTATTATGTTTTTCCCCAAACTGTTATCCATCTCACCATTACACAGGCTGAAAACTGCTACTGCAAAATCATTTTTAACAGCTCATTACTATTTCATGCTATTCAGTCTTTTCCTACCTCAGGCTTTATCCTTTTTTTTTTCCAGATCTCACACAAAAATCCAGCTTTCCTCTCTCTCCAAAGTCTTCTAATTTAGTTTGGGCTACTATATGCATGAAAGGTGTGGTGGACAGCCCAGTTGGGCTGTTGCCACTTTAGTAAGTTTTTAGGAGATGCACATTTTTCATTAACATTTTTTTTTGTTTATGTTGTCTTTTAAATTTATTTTTAAGGTGTAAAAAGTCATGCTTGTGAGCAATGTGGCAAATCATTTGCTAGGAAAGACATGTTAAAAGAACATATGCGAGTCCATGATAATATCCGAGAATACTTGTGTGCAGAGTGTGGCAAAGGTATGTCTGATGCCTCGTTTTCCATTCATTGTGATACTGAATAGCAGGTGAATAGCTGAATTGAAAATACTTCCATTTTTAGGGTATTGGGAAGATCTGGGAGTGCTGTAAATCCTGCATTTTCGAGAGGTAGAAACCATATTAATCAGGAGCCTCATGGTTGTATAAACTACCCCTAATTTTATACAATTTGGTTTCATGGCCTGTAAGACAACATTGATTTTAACAACGTTGGCTTCTGTCAGTTGAGGAATGCTTGCCTGACTGAGTTCCAATACATTTGCAGCACAAAAGTGAATGCAAGTTGATTTTTTTCATTCTAGGCTGTTTTCAGGCTGAAGAAATAGAGTCATTTCTGTCTGTAAGAGCCTTCAGAGTCAAAGTTGCTTTGACATTTTTAACTGCTCGTGTTACAAGTTGAACAAAATCTGAGCTGGTGTTTTAGTGGAAGGCAGTAGTAAGTTTGACACCTCTCATGCTGCTTTGTGCTGCTGTTTTGCTTCTTCCTCAGAGGTTGCTCAGATGTTTTCCAGAGCTCTTTCTTGGAATCAAGACAATAAATAATAATGATGTGCATTACTACCTAAACAATTAAAAATCATAGAATCATAGAATGATAGAATTTAAGGTTACAGATCACCTAGTCCCAACCCCTGCCCTGGGCAGGGACACCTCCTCACTAGATCAGGTTGCTCAAGGCTCATCCAGCCTGGCCTTGCACACCACCAGGGTCGGGGCAGCCACCATGTCCCTGGGCAACCTGTGCCAGTGTCTCACCACTCTTAGAGTAAAAACCTTTTTTCTAATATCCAACCTAAACTTTCCCTCCTTCAGTTTGAACCCATTACCCCTTGTCCTATCATTGCAGTTCCTCTAAATATGCAGTTACGGACTCGCAGCAAGTATAATCTTAGAGCTCTTGGCTAACAACATGATCATCCTGAGTTCTCCTGTGAAGGTGGGAGCAATGGGCTAACTGTCATGCTGTACCTTTTGTCTCACAGGAATGAAGACAAAACATGCTCTTCGTCACCACATGAAGCTTCACAAAGGGATTAAAGAATATGAGTGCAAGGAATGTCACCGAAAATTCGCACAGAAAGTCAATATGCTGAAGCACTACAAAAGGCACACGGGTGAGAGCTCCAGACATGTACAAAGGTTGCACTGAGTTAGTTAAATGCTTCCTAAGAGAACTCTTACCTAGAACAGTCAGAGAGTATGAGGAGTATGAGAGATTTTGTCCTCTCTGCAGCCAAGACCAACTGCTCTGCAATTGAGAGATAGTTTAGTTGGTTTCAAGTTTTGCTTTTTTGGAGAGAGGTTGTCTTGGTCTAGGGTAGGTCTAGAGTGTTGGCTTTGGTTTAAGTTAGTCTTCAGGTTCTCATTTCCCAAAACAAAATTTTACCTCCCAAATCAATTTCTCTTGGATTTGTTTTCTGCCAGATACAGTGCTATGGCTTAGGTAAAAACAGGTGGTGAAGCTGAGCTGCTTCTGCTTGTTTGCCTGTGCTTTTGTGGGTAATGTTAATAATACAAGACTCAGAATTGTCCCAGATACCTTAGGCTGCTTTCACAGATGCTAACTGTGCTCTTCATGCAGGAATCAAAGATTTCATGTGTGAGCTCTGTGGCAAGACGTTTAGTGAAAGAAACACGATGGAGACTCATAAGCTGATCCATACAGGTAAACCCTCAAAAAAACAGTATTCACCAACAGTATCTCCATTTTCTTCCTTGGCTTGCTTTAGACTTGCCAGTCTTGGAAATATTGCTGCACATCCTGTTACCAAACATAAGTTGTTCCTCTTGTTGAGATGTTGACAATACTATACTCATCTATTGGGTTTTCCTTCCATCTGCCACCAGTAGGAAAACAGTGGACATGTTCAGTCTGTGATAAGAAGTATGTCACTGATTACATGCTGCAGAAGCACATCCAGCTCACCCATGATAAGGTGGAAGCCCAGAGCTGTCAGCTGTGTGGGACAAAGGTTTCTACCAGAGCATCCATGAGTCGACACATGAGGCGTAAACATCCCGAGGTGAGTGCGTTTGGCAGGTGGATTGTGAGGTGGTTTCTTTTGGTTGGTTTTTTTAAAGAAGGTTTATGGCTTTCAGTGACTTCATAGTATCAGAGTATGTTAAGGGGTTGGAATGAACCTTAGAGATCACCTAGTCCCAACGCCTGCCCCGGGCAGGGACACCTCCCACTAGACCACCAGACTTGAAAAGAATTACTTTTTTTTTCCTCTCTTTTTTCTTGTTATTTTGGAGCCAGTTTAGGCAGTGCCCTTAACTGAATCAGCCATTTCCCTGTGGTAAGTCCTAGTAGTAAACATATCTGATTGTCAGTCCCTAAAAATGAAGTTCTTCTGATTATTTAAATTCCTTTTCTTTTTCTGCCTCAGCTTAAATGTGTGTTTTTTCATGTTTTGTCTTCATCCATTAGTGAGTATAATGGATTCTTTTTTCCCCCATTGTGTTCTCTGTATTCAGGAGTGATCTGAAAGAAGTGGTGAATAGAGAGGTGGTGCAGCATCTGCTGATGAAACAGAATTTTTCTTAGTATTAAAGATGAATGCTGACTGGAGAGAATCTGGATTAGAGGGATGTTTTGTCTGACCCCAACAGGGCTTTTTCTCTGTTCTAAATTTCTGAATAGCTATTGTGTTTCTCCTCAGCATTTCTTGTTTAGGTTTGACTAAGGCTTGTCCATTCCCTTTGAGGCTTTTCTTTTAACTCCCAGCTTATCATTAGCATTGCTTTGCTGTTTTATCATGATGACTGGGAAGGAAGACAACATAAAGCTTGGTGATTTGGGGCTTAAAAATGTAGCTACATATCTGCAATCCAGAGGGCAATTTGTCTCTATTCTTTGATAAGCTGAGATGTATAGATTCAGCTGAAAACAATGAAGTAGGACACAGCTGGTAGGTTTATAAATTAAAATGCTAAAATTATTTTTTTTTTCCAACGTATTGTTTTCTGTAGTATTCATCACTTCCCAGTGGGGTGTGTTCTGTCTAGAACAGGAAAATAAACATGTTCTTATATTGTTGTCTTTAAACTTTGCTGGTTTTCAGGAAGAAGAAGATGATATGCCAAAAGGTTATTAAAAGAAAAGCCATGGTTAAATTCCTTTTTTTTACAAGATATGCATAAAATGTTAGATTACATCATTTTCACTTTGTGACAGGATTTATTAGGGAGATGCTGTGTTGCCTGACTGCAATTCACCAGCTGATACCTCTTTGTCTACAGATTCTTTCAGTGAGGATTGATGATTTGGAGCAGCTGCCAGAGACAACTACCATTGATGCCTCTTCAATTGGGATTGTTCAGGTAATTCCAGGCCTGCTGGAGGGTGAGTTGGGGATGTCACTTTTTTGGTACATAACATAGCTGGGCGTAGGCTGATGGGTGAGGAATGTGCTTTTTCAGGGAGTCAGCCCCAGCCTGACATGTCCAAGCAGCTTCAAGCTGTGGATCTGTTTGGCTGTACAACAGGGCAGCTGGTAAAACACAGCTAATTACAGGGTGAGGTCTCATTCCCTGAAACCAGCTTTTTCCTCAAGATTGTTTCTGCACTTGAGAATTGACAGTAAACCAGCTTCAGGTGATAGTCTCTTACTTGGAACTTCACTAAGCAAAAGGACTTGATGTTTTCTTTGGAAATGTGTTGCTCCAGCCGGAACTAGCCTTGGAACAAGGTGAATTACCAGAAGGGAAACAGCATATAAAAGCTCCTAAACGTGGCCAGAAACGAAAACAAAAGTCAGGTGAGGAGGAGGAAGCTCAAGTGCCTGAGGACCCTGCCTTCAGTGAATACACAGAGAAGGAAGGTGAATTCACAGGGAATGTTGGCGATGAGACCAATTCAGCTGTGCAGAGCATCCAGCAGGTGAGTTCCAGGAGCAGTGATGGCATTGCTTAGGGGCATAACCCTTCAGTTTTTTGCTGATAGCAAACATGAAAGAGTGAATGGAACATTTGGAGCTGATTTGATAAATTGTGGTAATACAAAGATGAATAAAGACTTTTAAAAAAAACAAGGAGTTGGACCAGTAAGCTCCTCATGTTTGTTTCCATTTCCTTTGGTGTTACCATCTCCTCCTTTGCCAAGTACCACCAACTGGGTGAAGCTGTGATTAAAGGGGTGAAAGTTGGTATGATCACAGGATGGTCCTGCTTGAGCAGGGAGGTTGGACCAGATGACACACTCTGGTCCCTTCCAACCTAGCTGATTCTGTGATTCTCTGAAAGTTAATTTGGCTGCTTGTTTGGAATGTTGCATATCCCTCTCTCCCATTACTGCCTGTGGTAATTTCTGTATATGAAAGTTGTTATATCCCAAGTTTTCTGTGTTTCTCTATGTGTGACTTCTCTTGCTGGCAGTAGCACCATGTGAGCCCATCAGCACTCAGGTGATCTTTCTTGCTGTTTCTTGATACTTGGTGGTCAGCTGCAAGGTAGAAGGCTGAGGTTACCTCTGTGTTTCTCCTCAGGTGGTGGTGACCCTTGGTGACCCAAACGTCACAGCCCCTTCCAGTTCTGTTGGGCTGACAAATATCACTGTTACCCCCATTACAACAGCAGCTGGAACCCAGTTCACAAACCTGCAGCCCGTGGCTGTTGGCCATCTGACTGCCCCTGAGCGGCAGTTACAGCTGGACAACTCCATTCTCACCGTGACGTTCGACACCGTCAGTGGTTCTGCCATGCTGCACAACCGCCAGAATGACATTCAGATCCAGCCACAGCCTGAGGCAGCCAACCCCCAGTCCGTGGCCCATTTCATAAACCTGACCACCTTGGTGAACTCCATTGCTCCTCTGGGCAACCAGATAACAGAACAGCATCCGCTGACGTGGAGGTCAGTGCCTCAGACTGATGTCCTGCAGCCCCAGGCACAGGCGACGCAACAGCAATCGGGACAGCAACCTGTTCAAACAGAGCAACAGCAGCAGATGTACAGCTACTAATTTATACTTTGGAAAGTTTTCAAATGGACAGTACTTAGAGACAAAAACACACAGACCTTTGGAAAGTTTCTAATAGGATTGTTTGCTGGATACCAAACAGATGGGAAAATGCTAAAATTGGCCTATAGCACGCTGCAACACCCTAACCTGAGATTTCTGCGCTGTCTCTAGGCCTTGCACTGTCTTGAGGAAAAGGAAAAACAATCTCACCAGAAATTTAGCACCCCCTTGCACTTGTGAAGTAAGATTGAGATTTGACAGGTGCATCATCATACATCATAACCAAAGCAGGGAAATCCTAAATACTACAGCACTTGTGATGTACAAAACCCTCTCAGCCATACCATGTCACTTCTTTCCAGTCTGGAAATGTCATAGGAATACCTTGTTCACAGTGAGTGGAGTACACTTGTGGTCAGCTGGTAGAGACTGAAATGTGAAGACACAAACAGGCAAAACAATAATTGTCTTTTTGTTTCTTATCTTCTTTAAGTCTTGTATCTAACAGCATTGGTAAAGTAGGTGGAATTTGGGGCTTTGGGGTGGGCATGAGTGTGGTGTGGAAGAAAATATACCAATTACACAAAGTATTTCCATTTTAGTCATGGGAAAACCCCTGTACCCATCACACAGTGTTAGTGCTACTTGAATCAGATAGCTGGTCTAATGCTAAAGCAACTTTTATGATCTTCTAGTCAAGTTTGAATCAAACCAATTAAGAACTGAAAAAAAAAAAGGATGTGATACAGTTTTATGTAATTTTTCTAACCAGCTCTTTCAATCTTGCTTTTAGCTATCAGGCCTGAAGAGCAATCAGTCCCCTTTGGTCAAGTTCAGGATGTGAATTTTTTTCAATTAGACTTATTGCATTGTGTAATAAACATTTGAGAAAGCATTCTTTTTATATATATATACACATACATACATATATATATATATATAGCCTTTGTACTTTACTGTGTGTTCCTGGTGAGTATTTGTGTGGAAAAACACTGTTATCAATACGATTCATTAATTTTTTCACCCCCCCATATTGCCCTTTCTCACAGAAATAACGTATGGATTCTGTTCCTTCTGTTTCCAAAACTGTTTCCAAAATTCATGGCCACACACACCCCCAGGATTGTGTGAAGTGCAAGAAAAAGGAATGTCTGAAGCATATTCTGTGTCCTGCCACATGGAGTCAGTGTACCCCAGTGTATAATGGGCAAGGTTTGCATGACTGTTGGGGATACGAATAGTGGGTTGGGTCAAACACATCTTTGCTGATACTCCACTTTCATTCCATTCTCTATACATTGATGTGCAGTCTGGGCTTTTGCATGTCAAGAAGATAATAGTATCATTCCCACAGGGAGAATGAGCTGGTAGGAAAAAGGAATAAACTAAATATATATAATATATATGTTGCTGCCTGGAATCCTGAAAGGCAAATCTGTCCTTCCAGCTATGGCTGAAGAACAAGGTCCTTTGGGGCAGCAGACAGAGCCACAGGATCATGCTGAAGGTTTTTGCTGAGCATGAAGCAGCTGCTGTGTCTGACAGTGAGGATAGATCGGTGGTTGTAAAAATCCTGTCTGTGCCTATCGTATTTATGAAAATGTTCTATGTATTAGCAAGAATATGAGTAGGAATGACTTCAGCTTTGAGAGTCTCTATTAACATGGACTACTTGACCCCTAAAGGATGCCTTACAATCTCTACAACCAATTCTTCCAAAGCATAAATGTCTGGTTATAAAAATTTCTGGGTGCCACAGCTGTGTCCAGAGGTTCACTGTGTCAGGCTCTGTGTAAATCTGCAGGACACGTGTAGGAAAGGGGTTTCTGGTGACAGATTTTGTGTGTCAGAGGAGCAGAACTACTTTTCTCTAAATGTCAAGAAGCCTATACAATGTCTGCATGGGAGGGACCTGTATTGGATGGGACAAGGATGCATATGAGAAAGACGAAATCTCTTTTAC